CGACGCTCAAAAACAATCGGGGCGGGCAGTGGCTGGCCGTTTTCGGCCCCGGGGGGCCCTCGCTGGTCCCCGGGGAAATGGTCCAGACATCCAGGGGCCACGATCCTCACGAGGGGTGTGCCGACAAAGACATGCGGAGAGCCGCGGCAGGAGGACGGAGAGGAGGGGGAGGAGGAGAGGAGACGCTGGGCGCCCACAACGAAGACCCAACACAACAGGACGGTTGGGAACAACAGTGAGAACAACCAAAGGAACCCAGGGAACCTGGGAACCCGAGGAATACTGTGTCCTCCCGCTTCGCACACACCTGGGAACCCAGCGGCCAGATGTCTGTGGTCCCCCGTCCCACACATACTCCATCCCTCCTCCCCTGAGATTCGGGAGTTGCGACCTTTCAACGCTGGGCGCCTTCGCCCAGTGTCGGGCCCCGGGACCATCACAGATCGATCTCGCTCGACGGATGCAGCAGAGAAGGGGTCGAGGGCTTTGGTCGTGATTTTTCGCGATGCTGCAGTTTTCGTCGTGACGTCGGATCTCGGGGTCCCTCCCTTTCCCTCATCCCTCCCTCCTCTCCTTCCCCACCCTGACTCTGGATCCGCCGTACTTTGTTGGTTAATCTTCAGATTTAACATCGTGTCGGAAATGTACCCCAAACGACGCGAACAAGTAGGGCGGAAACTACCGCCTCAGAAAAGCAGGGAGCGCATCCCCGCAAAATGTATGGCGGAGGTAGCGACGGCAAAGGACATAGAGCGGAAATCGGCATCAAGGCAGCTTGAAGAGTAGGGCGGAAATGTCCGTCCTACGGTCAAGACGCTGAAACAAGGGCCACTTTGGGACTCAGGCGGGGCTCTGTTTGTTCGGGCCGCTCCTCAGACCTGGGTCGGGGAACCCACTCGTGGCCGAAGCTCGCCGCGGCCAGGAAAGCCCCTCCGCTTCTGACAGTCAACCCGCACATTGAGGTTGATCGTCTTCCCAAGGGTGCCCCTGCATCCCTGCCTGTTCGGTCATCTTCGGTCCATCCTCAACCACTCTGGGTGGCCATCCCCCGCTCGAAGAGCCTCGGCATGGGCGTCCAAGGCCCTCGCACCCTTACCGCGCATCCTGACTACATGGGTTGACCGTATTTTGCGTTCCTTATGTTAGCACGCTGACTGTCCTTACGGCATCGCGCACAGTAGGGCGGATCTGGAGTCCGGGCAGACACTTCGGCGAGCCACTCAGGGCCGAGCCAGCCGCCTCGGCACTGCACCCGCTGGCGCCAGTGGCCGCGCAGGCCGCGGGGGAGACGCCCAACGTGAGCGCCCGCACACGTGTAGGCTACACCCGAGAGTGGCTCTTCGCTGGAGTGACCTTCGGTGCGGGCCCAGAGGGGCCTCCCGCCGGTGCCCTCCAGTACTGGCCTGCACGCTTGGACGGGGCCCCACCGTGGCCCCCTGAGGCCGCGCACCAAAGGTCACTCTTGCCTAGGGTCTCTCTTACGTGTAGGCGAACGGGGGCGGGAAAATAACCGTCCGCGTCATCAGATCCCTCAGAGTTCTCCTCCTCTTCCTCCTCCTCCTCCTCCTCCTTTCCACGAGAGCCTGAGTGGCTCGGCGCAGGCGCGCCCGCGGCGTCCATAGGCGGGGAGCGAACTCTTGCCCTCGCTCGCTCCTCCTCCTCCTCTTCCTCACACGGATGTCCCCGCAGCAGGGGGTGCCCATGCGCTCCATCTCCGAGTTCCCCATTTCCGTCGCTGCGGAGCACTACCAGGCCGTTCCCCCGCCCACCGCGATCGGTTGTTATTGTGGCCCGTTGGGTGTGAGTGTGGCCCGTTGGGTGTTAGTGTGGCCCGTCGCGCGGCCGGATGGGAGTTGCTGTGGCCCGCGATGGCCGTACAAGGAAAAGTAGTTTGTAAAGGTATCTCATGTTAGATCCGGAGAGGCTCGCAACCTTCAAGGGAATGCGCTCCCGCGCAGGCGAACGTGGCCACAGTAACTCCCCCTTTGAACAAACGTAGTAGTAGTTGTGGTAGTTGTGGTGGTGGTGGTGGTGGTGGTGGTGGTGGTGGTGGTGGTGGTGGTGGTGGTGGTGGTGGTGGTGGTTGTGGTGGTGGTAGTAGTAGTAGTAGTAGTAGTAGTAGTAGTAGTAGTAGTAGTAGTAGTAGTAGTAGTAGTAGTAGTAGTACTATTAGTAGTAGTAGTAGTAGTAGTAGAAGTAGTAGTAGTAGTAGTAGTAGTAGTAGTAGTAGTAGTAGTAGTAGTAGTAGTAGTAGTAGTAGTAGTAGTAGTAGTAGTAGTAGTAGTAGTAGTAGTAGTAGTAGTAGTAGTAGTAGTAGTAGTAGTAGTAGTAGTAGTTGTAGTATTAGTAGTAGAAGTAGTAGTAGTAGTAGTAGTAGTAGTAGTAGTAGTAGTAGTAGTAGTTGTAGTAGTTAGTATTTCGTAGTTAGTAGTTCGTAGTTAGTAGTTAGTAGTTAGGAGTAGTAGTAGTCGTAGGTGTAGTAGTAGTAGTAGTAGTAGTAGTAGTAG